CTCTAGCTGACGTTATTCGTCTTCGTCCTTGTCCTTTCCTTCGACGAAATCCGCCTGTTTCTTGATAACGAGCCCAAACACGTCTTTACTTTTAAAGAGACGGCGCAAGGAGGAAAGAAGAAATTCAAAATTGGCTAAATGCATCTTAAAGTAGAGACTTTAAGCTTTAAAATAAGAGAAAAAACTTTCAATTACGATAATTTTTAACGAAGTTATGATTATTTGAAGTTGTGCGAAATTTTGGTATAAATGAGTGTTGCGATAATTTTGTTGCCTAGTGTATTTTAATTAAAAAAAAAAATCTAATTTATTTGCATGCCTCTCTTTGCGTTCCCATCCCTGTGTCTCTCTCGTGCTAGTTGTAAGTATCGTAATATCGTTCTCTCTCATGCGTTAATCGCAAGTCTATCTTCATCTTTCGCGCTTAGAATGAGTAATCTCTCGCGCTGACACAGAAAAAATGTATAGATTGTTAATAAATAAATTTTATGTTTCAATTTAAAAAATGTGATTATTTACGCGCCTCTCCTTGCGTTCCGTCCCTTGCGCTATCTCTCTCTCGCGCACTAGTTATAAGTATCGCGATATCGTTCTCTCTTGTACACGTTGTCTTCGCACTATCGTTCTCTCTCTCTCTCGCACGCGTTGTCTTCGCGCTATCGTTCTCTCTTTCGCGCGCGCTAATTGCAAGTCTCGCGATATTATCGTTGTCTCTCTCGAACGTGTTGTTTTGCGCTATCGTTCTTTCTCTCTTTCATATACTCGTTGCTCACTTACCTTTGGGTCGTCCTTCTCCCACCTATGCATCGTCCTTGTCTCACGATGACGCCATCCTTGTCACACTCGTAGCACTATTATTATACTTTTCCCACACGTAGCGCTGTCCTTCTCACACCACCGTCTTCTTTTCGCGGATCCCCCTTCACCTCGCGGACCCCCTCGTCCATCGCTTGCGCCGCGGATCCCCCTTCCCCGCGGGTGACGTCACCCACCGCGCGCCGCGGTTCCTCCTTCCCCGCGCGTGACGTCACTCCCCCGCACCGCGGTTCCCCTCGCGCCTCATCTCTCCTGAGAGGACCTGAGTTAGAACTCTCATAGTCTTACTACTTACACGCATCGAAAGCTAACAAATCTTGTACATATCGTGTATTTTTACGCAATAAACTTATCCACTATATTACTCTTGTGTGGCTGTCACTGTGTTACAATCAAAGGAGCAATTTTACGTTATTGCATCCCGTCACTCATCCAGTGCGAAATCACGTTAATTGCAAACTCGCGATACCCTCTCGGGTGTGTCCCGACAAAACAAAATCGCAATTCACAGGTGCGATCCCGAACATATACGTTATATATTTTTGTACCTTATTTATATATAATATACTACAAAAAATAACTCAAATGTAATAATACTTCTTTATTTACGTGGGTTATTTTGCCAAGGCACCTCTCCTTCATCACAAAAGTAATCGCAAAATTCATCGCGCATCTGAATGCAGTTTCGCGCACTGGTATTCGAACCACAATGATCGATATCTCGAAAAGCGCAGTCATCTTCAATGATTCTCCGTCAAGAACCTGGTGTGAAACTATTTGGATCATCGGCATAAATTTCATCCACCATACCCGCAGAAACGTATGCATTTTTGCCAATGTCGTCTTTACGGATCCAATTATGCAGACCAACCGTCGCCTGCACCATCAATTTAGCATTCTCTGGGAAAGCAATAATTGGTTTGCGATATATTCGTCACTGGCTGGCTAAAATACCGAAAGTATTTGCAGTAATTTAAACGTTTACAAACCTCAATGTTACTACCAAACGTTCTTTCGGTTGTATGGGCTCTCGAATAACATTTTCTTTTACCAATAGTGGACTAACAATCAACAACAATTCCTCCAATTGTGTTGCGGACATTCGGAAATAATTGTGGAATCATACTCCATCCTCTATGGTCAGTTTAGGAATCGACACATAGTAAAAACTGTGCTCTGGACGATCCTTTAGATACGGTGCCACCTAGTATTGCTTCTTCCTGTACGGTCTCTTCTCATTTTCTTGCAATTTTCGCATAATTGCACACAACACCAGTATTCGTCGTTTCCTAACCTCTTTAGCTATTATTGACGGCAATGTATTTCGCAATGTTGCCGACAAAATACTATTCGGGCAGTTTAAACGAACTTCGACACGCATCCTTAATTGTCAGTTCATACACGAATTAAATCTATAAAAAAACGATTTAAAAAACAAGAATACAAATTCACAGCGATTAGCGATTTGTCGCTCCATGAAAAAGTAGCGGGAGTTTAGCGGCTGGCGTTTTGTCGACGGCTTTCTTTCTCCTCATTATTAAGGGGAAATGTACCACAGAGTGAGGGTAACCAACTGTATCTAGCGCTTTGACGCTGCGTGAAATTGCACCTTTATGCCTTACAACCTTATGCTGCGGCTATTGTAGAATTGCCTTAACACTTGTTTGTTGAAAATTAAATAAAGACAGACAATGGGTGTGTTTCGGGATCGCATCGCTACAGTAGCGTTATTGTAGCGCTACATAAGCGTGTTTCACGTTATAAAGCGCTATAGTACCCAGACAGCACACATGTCCAAAAAACATCTAAAAGACGACTTAAAAACGTCTTCTAGAAAGTCCTCTAGACATCTTTAAGACATCTTTTGGCCTTTTTGTGCTGTCTGGGTAGCGCTATAAAAGTACGTTTCAGGACTTTCTGCTACAATTGTAGCGGTCGCCATTTTTTTCTGCTACAATTGTAGCAAAAAAGCTGTAGCGCTACTAGAGTCCCTATAATATAGAGTCTGGCCACTTACTCCTCAAAATGGCGTCGTTGTGTGGTGGGGATGACTCGTATTGGCGTCTTGAATGCAGTGAATATCGAAGTTAACCTAACCGTATGTTAATCGCGTGTGAATTGCATATAGAATACCGTGATTACACAAATATTAAGATAATAAAGGTGAATATATATTTTTATCAGCAACTTGTAATAAATGTAGAATAAAAATGTTAAGAATTATATCCTTTCTTATAACCAGTGAAATCCGTTAGCAAATCAAAAACACGCAAAACTTATTCAGTTACGGTGCTTTCGCTAAAATACATTGTTCTTTGTAAACGATGAAACGTTCACATATTTTTATAATATGGAAATTATTATTCGTCAATATTTGCCTTACGTAAAAGAAAATATGTGCAATGTTTTTCCATTTTACATGAACAAAATGAAATCTATTATGTGTTATATAAAATCGTGTCATGGTGCGGTCCCATGATACGGAACGTATGCGCAATGCGGAATTGGCGGAACGCTCGTGATTGGTTTAATCTGTTTTATGTCTGTTCTGCCGATTTCTATCCGCAAGTTTCTATTTTATACACATTTTGTGCGGAACTTCGAAATTGTGTGTATGATGAAAAATGTCGAAACAGCAGATATCCGTAAAAATATTATTAAAAAATATTTTAAATAAGAGTGTAACAAGGAATGGTCCAACTAATGCTAATAATGCGTCAAATAATTGAGGTGCCATTCTAAAATAATCCATATATTTTTCTGTGTCTTCGATCAGCATTTCCTTTACAAGATTCTCACTTGCTCCTTGTTGGAATCTTCTTTCTAAGCTGAATATAGGTCGCATCCAATATTTTCGTAATTTTTTAATATTTTCATTTTTTTTTACAATTATATACAATGAATATAATTTTATAATCTTACGGCGTAATTCATTCTTTTTAAATATACACCAACTTTGTTTTAATTTACTTAACAATCCACAAATAATAATAAACAATTTTTCAGAATCCATATTCAATATTAAGTTGTTGTCAGTTTTGAAAGTTATATATGAAATTCATGAATTTTTTGACATATATGTGTGAATCCGATCCGCATAAATTTGTATTTCCTATGTCCCATGCAGCGGAAAATACGGAAGCGTAATTTGCGCGAGCCAATAATGTACGCTGTTCCGATATAGACAACAAAAAAATCTATGGGAAAGAATCTTGTGATTGGCCAACACCAATTGCGTTTCCGCGTTTTCCGCTCCATGGGACATAAGAAAATATATTTCAACGGAACGCAATTGACGGAATGTCTGTGATTGGACGAACTTCGTTCCGCCAATTCCGCATTGCGCATACGTTCCGTATCATGGGACCGCACCATCACAATTTACCGTTTAACATTATGAAACGTTTTATTTTATATAGAATGCGTATTTCTTGTAAAAAAGGTAAATTAAAACAAAAAGAATATAGTAGCAAAACCATGGCCATGCATTCTGCATTTAAATAAAATTTTATTATTAAATTTAATTTAATTTAATTTAATCTATATACAATCCCTGCACTGTAATTGGTTCCGCCATTTTGAGGGGCTTGCGAGCTGAACCAATAAAAATAGGTACGATGAGTGGCCAGACTCTATGGCCGGTATTCATAGTCCGATCTTATATTTAAGATCGTCTTAAGTCTGGTCCGAGGTTGACTTAAGACCTCCTTCAACCAATCAAATAGCTGCGTAGCATTTCAAGCTCGAACTTAAGACGATCTCAAATATAAGATCGGACTATGAATACCGGCCTATATTATAGGGACTCTAAGCGCTACTGTAACGATGCGACCCCGAAACACACCCAATGCTCACGAAAGTGCGAACGCGACAAGTGGAACGTGCTTTATATGTATAGGATATATAGGCTGTGTTCCATATAATGATCGCAACGCTCGCAGAATCATCTTATCTTTGTTGTTCGCTAAAAGTTAAACAAAGGCTGCGGTCGGGAAGACGTTCTGGATGATTTGAAACATCATTCTATCTTTATTCTCATGGAATGTAGAACAAAGATAGAATGATGTTTCAAAGCATCCAGAGCGTCTTCCCGACCGCAGCCAAAGACATATCATGTTTACTAGTGTCACGATCATTAAGTGGAACGCAGCTATAATAAATCTATTTCTCGAGTATCATCGTTCAAAGGTAAAAGTAATCCGTTATATTATAAATTTGTATTAATGTGGCTAAAAAAAAGAATACGAGGATTGGAAGTATGAATTTTACGGAAAATTCAGATAAGCAGGTTATCATAGATGATCGTCTGCATCATTTTATTGAGACCGAAACGAAGAAACAACAATTTCAAGTTAGTTTCGATTTCATTTACGCAAGTAAATTCGTAGATTAATATTTTCTATTTATATTTTGTGCCTTGTATAATAAAAAGAGAATTCTATGAATATTTATTTTATTACTAATACTTTGATTATATATTTTTATAATAATAAATATTTAAACTTTAATCCCAATAATATATATATATATATACGTGAGCATTAAAGTTTATTATTTAATTTTGGATCTATCTGTAATTATATGTCCAAAAATGATTATATTTATTATATCTTTTGCTTATAAGAGCAGTGTATTAGATAATAATTTATAATGATATTTCAGGGATTAGTACATGAACTAACAGGTATTTGTTGGGAGACTTGTATGGACAAACCATCACCACGCCTAGAACCCAAAGTTCATAAGTGTCTCGTGAATTGTGTGGAAAGATTCATTGACACTACTAATTATATCACAAACAGAATAGAACGTATTGCGACAAATTTACAACCTGAATCAGATAGTATAGAATGATTTCATCATTCTGAGAATGTACCAATCTTTATCTTCTATCAGTTGTATAAAGTTTGTAATATATTTATATATTGTATGTGTTAGATCTATATAAGTTCTTGATCATGTTTTCAAGCAGTTGGGGATTTTTAAAGCGTCATAAGCGTAAGTTTGTTATTGGAAGTATTATTGTTAGTAGTGTCATTTTTTTAACACGTTATACACAGCGCAAGCTTCAAGAATGGCAAGATAATGAGATAAGGATGCTAATGGAAAAGACAAAGAAGCGACAATATTATGAAAACATAGAGAAAACATGCAACCAAATGACATTATCCCTTGCAGCAACCTTAAGAAACTCTGTGATCAAAGAAAATGATACAGAGACTATTATAAATCAACTTAGAGATGGCACTGCCAATAAGATAGTGTCTTGGAATCAATTAAAAATATTAGCATTTACACGATCAGCTGTAATAATTTATTCTTATACAATGCTAGCTACATTTCTTCGTATTCAAATTACTTTGATTAGTGGACATATGTACAAAAATGCACAGAATGTGGATAATGGGATTATTGAAAATGAAGTACAAGAGAAATATATGACACTTTCTAGCTATTTTATATATGAAAGTATAAAGAATTTAAATAATCTCATAAAAAGTAAAATTGTTGAAGTCACAGCTTCATTGTCTCTGACAGAGCAATTAACATTGAGAGATTTAGAACAAATTTATTGGGCGCTTACATCTTCTATATCCACTGATAGTTTGAAAGATCCTGTCAAAAATTTTACATCTTATATATTGCAAAAGAACACTGAAAACAATGATACATCTATTTATAAAAAATTGATTGATCAGATGCTAGATGTAATAGAGAGTGAAGAAGTACAAGATTTAATGCAAAAGAATATCAGGAGTGGATTTGTTTTATTAATGGATCATATATCTATGTATTTCAATAACTCTTCTAAAATCAGTAATATATATGAAGCACGAGATGCAACATCACATTCAAAAGAGTCAAACATCAAAAATTCAACTTCAACTTTACAAGATGCAACTATGAATGATGAGTCAAATGAATTTGTAAATATTAATAAAACTACTATGGCTTTGGCCAAAATTATTCCTATTATAAATGGACAAGTTCCAGATAATCCAACACCAAAAGATATAGCAGCAGATTGGCTCCAACATCTGATATTAAATAGCGAGCTTAAAATTCTTGGAGCGAATATTTACGAAGCATTTAGCTGTTCTTAAAGTTAAGTTCAATTCAACATTATAAAAATTAGAAAAATTATTTCAATTATTATATTCTGTACAAAAGAATATATCAATTCTACTTTTGTCTTATATAATATTATATTTAAGGCTATACATACAAGTATTTTGTATAGTACTACAGAAAAATTTTGTTGTATATCTATAAATTAAAATAAAATTAAGACTTCATTATTCTTTTATTAATATTAATGCATTTTTACATCTATATAGCACAAAATAAACTTAATTTATCAAATAAGATATAATTGATTTCTTCTGTTTCAAAATTATTGTGATTGGAAATTATATTTATTCTATTTAAAAATTTTTCTTGAGTTTCCATTTTTAGATCATAAATAAATAAAAATATTGCGCGTTGTCTTTCACTGTGTAATTTTAAGAAAGGTTTTTAATTTAAGAGGAAAATTAAGTTATAATAAAAATAAAGGAAATGTATTTTTAAATTTTGGGACGGTTTTTTTAAATATATTTTATGAGGAAATATTTAAATATAGAGCAATTTGTTCTATTTAAAATATATAAAAATCTTGTAATTAGTTAAATAAATAATATTATTACTACATAATAGCTAAAACTTATTATTCCACATTATACAATGTCAATAATAGTGTGGCATTTATAAGTAATTAATAATTTAATATTGTAATAAGACTTCATTGGTTTAATATGTTATCAATTTTATTGATATCTAATTTATATATCTTTACGAAACATTTAACTGTAACCTTGTATGAAAGTTCTACATTTACACATTTCAAATACATTATATTCTAATTCTGATTAAAATGACTTTCTTGGACTATGAAATAATGCAATAATAATAAAAAATCATTAATAAGAATAATATATTGAAAAAAATATGAAAATGATTTATTTCCATAATTTTTTGATAGACATATTTTTTTCGGAGTCTTTCTGCATCACCTTTGCTACAGCCATCTCAAAATCTTCTTGAGTTACATGAACACGACGTTCTCTAAGAGCATACATTCCAGCTTCCGTGCAAACACCCTATAATATAAACAAAATCGTGTTAGCCTAGTTTATACTGATTGATACTCGAGCAATATATATTTGAGCTAATTAATTAATTTATTAGTTACTATTTGAAATACATATCAAACAATTGGTATAAATTAGACTATATTGAAGGACATACATTTCATATATTTAAGTTATTAGAGGCTAAATTTATCAAAAAGTTTCTTATTTTTTTTTTTAAATAAGAAAGATGGTAATAATTTAATAGAAGATATATCTTAATTATTCTAATGACATTTTATACATTCATATTCTATTATACAAATATTCTATTATAAATTTCCTATATATATTCTATTAACTTTTATCTATTATTTAATCTTATCTTATTAGCAATTTTTTTTAAGCATTTTAAAAATATTTTGTTAAAAAAAAAAAAATTACATTTATATTTAATACTTACTTATATACTTATCTTATTTTAATAATGAAACTATAAGTTAAATTTTTCATTACCTTAACTTCTGCTCCTGATGCACCTGGCATAAGTTCAGCTATTTTCCTTAAATTTATTCCGCGTGTCAAATTCATTTTTCTAGAATGAATCTTTAAGATGTCCAATCTAGCCTCTTCATTTGGAGGTGGAAATTCAATCTTACGATCAATACGTCCAGGACGTAATAAAGCAGGATCTAAGATATCAATTCTATTTGTAGCCATAATGACTTTTATGTTTTTTGTTGCCTCAAAACCATCCAATTGATTAAGCAATTCTAACATAGTTCGTTGAACCTAAAAGTATAATTTTTAACATAATTAAGAAAAAGCTATATTTGTATATTTACATATATATAGTACATATATTACACATACTTCACTATCGCCACCAGATCCTGATTCAATTCGGGAACTTCCAATGGAATCAATTTCATCCATAAATATTATAGATGGTGCATGTTCTCTTGCCATCACAAAAAGTTCACGAACCATACGTGAACCTTCTCCAATAAATTTCTGTACCAATTCAGAACCAGATACACGAATAAAGGTGCATTCTGTATGATGTGCCACTGCTCTCGCAAGTAAAGTTTTACCAGTACCTAAAAAAAATTTTTTTATTATTGTGATATAATTGAATAGATTATGATTGATTGTTTATAATAAATAAATATAATAAAATAATACTGAAAAAGTTTCAAATACATAATATATATATTTTTATAATGTAATAAATTATTACCTGGTGGTCCATACAATAATACACCTTTAGGTTGCGCAATTCCAAGAGCATCAAACAATTCTGGATGCTTGACTGGCAATTCTATAACTTCTTTTATTTCCTTTATCTGCTTATCTAAACCTCCAACCATTTCATATGTAGAATCTGGTACTTTTTCCACCATCATAAGTGACACAAGTGGATCAACTTTATTTGGCAATATCTTATGCAGAGTATAACTTTCATTGCGCAAAGCTACTCGTGAATTCGGTGTCACATCATTAATATCAATATTTTTATCTATGTCCACCACAAACTTGCCCTCAGGATGTACTTTGACTAAAACTTTCTTTTTGTCCATAGGTTTAACTACCTCCCCTACATATGAGCCTTGTTCTTGTAAAAGTTGTAATTCCTCTCGCAGCATACGTACTAAAAATAAAAAATAAAAAGACATTATGATAATCGTATATTTTAATACAATTTATCTTATATAATTGAAAATAAATCAAACTTTTTTTAATTACACGCAATATTTTCGTTATTAAGATACCTTTTGCATTGAGTTCATTACGTTGTGCCTGCAATCTTCTTAAATTTTGACTTTTTTCAGCAACAATTAATTGTAATTCCTCAATCTTTGTAATATAATATGGTTTAAAACCTTCTCCCTTAACATTCTTCTCATCAATCTCCATCTAAAAAAGATTTTGGATTAATTATAAATAAATATATAATTGCTCTTTTACATACATTATGTATATAAAAAAAAATAATTATAATATATAATAATTAAAATTTGTTTACCTTACTCATAAGTGTCATGATCGATTTAAGAATGATAAATATTCCAGATAATTATTAATATATCACGATTTAGTAAGAAAAAGAAAAATTATGTATAAGTTAATCTTATTTTCGATGAGTAAATTATTTCTTGTTTCTTTTTCTTTACTTCTTATTTTTTGCATATCATAAAAGCAACATCATCTTCTCACAGACTTCTTTATAATATATTAAACTAGAGAGCTAACTCCTCAAATTTTATTGATATAAAATGGCCACGAAATAAATACAACTAGAGGTTTGTTCTTTCCAGCTGAACTTTCTGTACTAGTTCATAAAGTGTATACTGAGGCGTTCTTTTTAGCAGAAGTGACGTCAAAGATGATTGTTCTTTTCAATAGTGCAACAGAACTGAGAATAGCAGTTCACTGAACTGCCTGCCCCAGGTCTTGAGTTAGTGCAGCGGTACAGTTCAATATGGCAGCTTAGATAAAACGAGAATAACATTATAATTTAACCTAAAATTAAAAATTATATTGGGTCTGTTCGTTTTAGGGTGCGTTTTCACTTGACGCTAAAAAGTAGCGTCAACCATTGGTTGAACAATGAAGCAACTACTTACTTCTTTGTTCAACCAATGGTTGACGCTACTTTTTAGCGTCAAGTGAAAACGCACCCTTAGCTGCACTGCTGCACTAGTGCAATAAGTTAGAAAGAGACGAACATACTTTCTTTCACTCTAAAGGCCGCAGCACACACTTTTGCATAAGCGCATAATCATAAGCATAAGAAAATTGATTGGTTCATTTTCTTATGCATATACTTGGGGATCAATCAATTTCCTTATGCTTATGGTTATGCGCTTATGCAGTATGTGCTGCGGCCTTAACTAATTGCACTAGTGCAGCTAAAACGAACAGACCCATTATCTTTATATTTATTTTTGTAAGTTATGTTAATACTTAAGATTTTTCACTCTATATTCGTCTTTTATTATTATTTTTGCGCATATAAAAATATTATTGATCAGTATTTTTACATATACTTGTGTATATATATATATATATATATATATATATATATATATATATATAATTGGTAGTAATATAATAGAAGTATAAAATACTGGGATAAATAATATTTTTTATATATAATAACAATAGCGACAGACAAATATAGTAAAAAATCTTAAGTATTAACATAACTTAAAAAAAGTAAATAAAGAGAATATATGATATATATGCTTTTTTAGCTTTTTGAATTTATATTTTTAATTTATATTAATTATATTAGAACTTTAGTCGTATAAAAAAAAGTTTTATCGACATGAAGAAAAGAACCCTTACGAAAAAGAACTATTGCTGATTACACATAAATATTACTAATAATTACATAGGAATATTACTGGATATCACAGGAAATATTATTGGATACTACAGAAAATATTACTGGATATTACAGGATATCATAGAAAATATTATTGGCAATTACATAGAATGTCAATAATTATTTCGTACCACTGCCGAAATATATTACTGCCAAAATATATTATTGCCAAAATATTACTGCCTGAATAAAAGAGGCTTTTTGGAATAATTTCAGTAGTTACTAAGACAACAATATTTTAATAATAATTTCCAGTTAATTTTAAAAGAAAATTAGTAAACACAATGACTAAAATATATTATTGCTATTTTTTCACCACTGAAATAGCAGTAAATATAATGGTGATTGTGTCCAATAATTTTCGTTTTAAAATTAATTGAAAATTATATTACTAAAAACATTGTGCCTTATTAGTAACTACTGAAATTATCCCAATTATCCCAATTTTAACTACAGATAGATTATTAGATATTCAATATCTATGTGTAGCAGAAACAGCAGCAGGCATAAAAAACAATTGTTAATTTGTAAGGTATTGCGAATATTGCGTGGCGATGAAATATGTAAAAATAGAAACATAACATCAAATCTTTTCTCTTACGTTATAGAAAAAACAGACACTATCAAATGTGTATTTCCTTCTGCGATTAGAAAGAAATGTATTAATATTCCTGTTTATTCCACAAACAATATGATTTATAATAAGCGATGCATAATACCTCTTGTAAACAACATAGAAACTGATTGAATTATATAAGTTTGTAATAAGAATTATGAATATAAGTATAATAAAAAATGTAAAATGTAAAAACGTAAATGTAAAAAACATCTAAAAGTAAAAATGTAAAAAAACCTAAATTAAAAATGTAAATGTAAATAATTGTACGTTTTACGTTTCACTTTGTTTTTTTAACATTGTAGAAAAATATTTATTGCAGAAAGTATGGAACATTAATTTTTAAACATTAAAAAACGTTCAATAAAATTTTTTTTTAATACTAAAAGCAATAACTTATATTAAATATATAAATAACTTATACTACATATTTACAAAACATTTATTTAATCAAATATATATTATTTATATATAAAAAACCTATATTATTTGTATCTTTGCAAACATATTTTGCTGTCTTATTTGAAGAAAATATTTAAAACTTTTAATATAAAAAAAATTTTTAAGTTTTTATATTTGCAATAATATTTTCAATATATCCCTGCTCATATTATATAATAGAATTAATCATGAGCAACATCCTGTAATATCTGCGTGTAATTCGTACCCTCAGTAGTTACATATGCAGTGATCTTTCCAGTGATATCCAACAGGCGAGTAATATCTGTCTGTATTCCGTTGCTAGTAATTATTATAGAGGCAATAATATTATTAATATTTGCCTTGATAATTACAGAGCCACCAGTAATAATCACACAATCGCGTGTAATAATTACACGGCTGGCAATAGTTCTTTTTCGTAAGGGAAGTATTGCATATATTACAAAAGATGCAGCTGGAAATATTTTAATTGATAAAGATGGAAATATTACTTGTAACAGAGAGAAGACTGAGAGGGGTCACACTGCCCTTTTTCAGGGAACGCTTTTTCCCCGCCATAAAGTGGCGCTAACTGGATCCATTTTACGGCCGGCGGTACTACGTGGCTGGATCCACTTTTCGCTGCCACGGTAAAACGATTGGTTCATGTCCGTGCTAGATCCATAATTGTGGATCTCAAAAGTACGAAACATATCATACATTTATTAATTTTTATTACATATTATTAACAGCGCGTGATCTGTTTTTACATGCATGTGTTTATGCGTGCATATATATATATATATATATATATATATATATATATATACAGAGAGAAGCCTGAGAGGGGTCATGCTGCCCTTTTTCAGGGAACGCTTTTTCCCCGCCATAAAGTGGCGCTAACTGGATCCATTTTACGGCCGGCGGTACTACGTAGCCGGATCCACTTTTCGCTGCCACGGTAAAACGACCGATTGGTTCATGTCCGTGCTAGATCCATAATTGTGGATCTCAAAAGTACGAAACATATCATACATTTCTTAATTTTTATTACATATTATTAACAGCGCGTGATCTTTTTTCACTTTAGCATATATTATAAAGTAATATATATGTATATGCGTGTATAATATATATAAAATTAAAATGCTTATTTCACATAAAATTTAATGTTTTAATAATTTCAATAAAAGTATTGTTACGTCCAGGCCCGAGGAAGGATGGGCCGAAGGAAGGGCGTAACACGTGTATCCCGAGAACAGGTGCCTTAAGGGCAAGTGTCTCGGGTCGAGCGAGCCTGCGGGTGAGCCAAAGATAGGTCAACGACCACAAAAGTCGATTTTACGCTATTTCTGGTCCAAATGCCCGCTCGTCGGTCCCCTTTTCGGTAAAGGAACTTAATCCTTTTTACCCGGGACGGGACCAAGTGCGATTCAGGAGCGTGGGTAACGAGAGGGGGAATTGATTAAGTTGAAGTGAAAATAAATTAATTAAATTTATTTTACATTACAAAAGATAAAATTTATATAAACATTTTAATTATTTATTACTCTAACACAATATTAAGTGTAATTGTGTGAATGTTTGTGGGTACATTAAGTGTGATTGTGTGTGTATGCGAGACGGGGTGAGGTTGGTCGGAATCTGGAGGATATCTTTCCCTGAAGAATTCTACGGGAATAGCGATAGGGTATCTGGTGAAGGGAGTAAAGCAAGGTATGGGAATGTTGGAAGGAGCGGTGCGGAGAAAGGCCTTGAGAGTTGGAATATGAATAAGGCCAGGGCCCAAGGTGAATTGACCCGGGAGGATCGGGTGAAAGTACAGAGGGTAAGTCAGGGTGAGAATTTCGGAGAGGATCCGATCACTAAGATCGATGTCGGAGTAAACAGGGGGAGGAAGAAGAGGAGGAGACAAGGGATGAGGATCTGGGACTGGCGAGTGGGATGGAGAAAGAGAAGGTGATAGCGGCGGGAAATCAGACTGAAGGTCAGATTGTGCGTCATACACCGGGGAGTAACTGGGAGGAAGAGTTCCAGGAAGCAGATATGGAGAATAATTAGGGGAAGGAGTGCGAGGGGGAAGATGTGAGGAGTCTCGCGTGTCTCCTTGAAAATTATTTAAGAAGATCCGGGTAATAGGGAGATCCGCGTTTATTTGACTTAAATCTAACGCAAATGAGGAATCAGCCGCAGCCCGAGCCAGCAATCGGCGGGTACGTCGATTACGGCGATATCGGAGTCGCTTAGTGTGGGCTCTAGCGGATTTCCTCGTGGGTTCCACTAGAGAAACGATTATTATGAGTAAAGGAAGTAGACGGGGGAGGGGAGGAACTTTGAAGATAAAAGAAAAGACTTACTATTTGGAAAACCGTGGACAAATCGAAATGAATTATCGCAGGACCCCCTTTGGCGTTGAGGATGGCGAGATATTGATCGTTGATGAAGACGGTGGTTGCTGCTGGGCTGCACTGACTCGATATGAAAGTTAATATGTCTCGAAACCTTTGAGTGCGTATATGAACGCCTGAGTCAATGAAAATATTTCTGACTGTACGAAACTTTGTCTGCTGTATGAATATTTCTGACTACGAATTTTTCTGACTCTGAGTTGTTCGAA